AATAGATCCTATGATTGCAGGGTGGGACGGTGTCTCACAAACAGTTCATACCTTGGCGGTAACGACCGTTAGCTTGTTAAATGATTAACAGAGGGTCAAAGATTCTCAGAAGCACCTCGAAGGGGAGAATCCCATCACGGGTTAAATGATATCTGGAACTCTAGTTGTTTTGGAACTGAAAAGGTGTCTTAGATTGAGAGAGAGAGACAGAAAAAAGTCCACTTGCTCAAAAAATGACCTGAGTGACTGAGAAACCAACACAAACATCTTCTGTTGTCTAATTTTAATAAGCCGTGGTGACTGTAGCCTCAGTTTCCTGTTCTTTGCTGACAGGACTGGCACACCATGTGCTCTTCTGCTGCTGTAACACATCTGCTTTGCACGTGCACTGAGTTGGTGCCACGTACGTCTCAGGGAGCAGGTATACCTAATGATGTGGCCAGTGAGTGTATATTGTACGTGTACTGTCGTTGCATCACGTCACACACTACTGTTTTGGTGCTGAGAAAGAGTCGCCCTGTTACACGTTGTTCTGTGAAAAAGCCGCCACACACCCACCTCCATGTGACACCCAGGAAGTCAAGCCAATATTTGCAAACAGCTCAGAGAACATAGAGTAGTTTAACATGCATGTAACCAATCTAAGCCCAGGCAGCGCTCTAAGCAACAAACAGAGAACATCTGATGAGGAACAATTTATTCAGTCATATTTACAGGCAGAAACAATCATGGAAGCTTCAGGAGAGTGAAACAGTTCATACGTGAGCAAACATTTTACAGCAGGTATGGTCGGTTTATGGGTTGAAACATTACAGATTTTGTGCTTTTATAGTCAGAATGAACAGTTTATGCACGAGTGTGACTCAAATAAAAAACATAACCAAAAAGTAAAATGCTACACTGTACATTCCTTCATTTTTCCAGATTTCCTCGAAGCATTTGGTTCGACAATAGGCACTCAGTTCAACCAACAAACGACCAACGAGAGGCGTCCCCCTCACAGAATGAAGACGGGACGCCGCCAGGTCGGGTTTGCCAGTGAAAAACACTCTTAAAGGAAAAGTTCAAGCTTTTTGTCCAACTTTGCCACTCTGGAAAGGCAACAGAAGAGGAGTAAAGTAAGTCGGCACTTTATAAACAGACTTTTCATTGGTCAGATTTTCTGTACCAAAAATGCATAAGAATGCCCACAACCTACAAAAACACAAGTCATGCTAACGACAGCTCAAAATGCATAAATCTATCATAGTCTTAAACTACCCAAATTCAATAGTGCAAAACATATGAGCAGTTTACAGACAATCAAGTCATGAAGTCCACACAGAAGTGATCCTACGCTTCAGTCTTCCTGCTACAATAATTTGAAAAAATGGAAGACACAAAGAACCAGAGTTAAACGTCCAGTGGTGCTGACACCGTTCATCTCTGAGGACGTTTCTGAAGCGCTGAAATGACCAAAACATTTACTCGTTAATCTAGAATTCAATTCAGACGTATTAATCGCGACCCCCTCCGAGAGAAAGCTTCACTGCTTCATGTGCAGTTTGTCAAACTTTGTCTGCTTCATGTCTTGACTTTCATCACATCTTTACAGAATCTATACAAGTTTGTTGTAGATACTTTGCACACGTGTTAGTATTACATTTATGGGAACCTGTAATATGGAGTTTAGCCAAAATATTATCTAAATACAAAGCATTCAGTGTTGTATGAAGGCTGTTTATGTGACTATGTTACACAAAATAAACAATATATTGCTTGAACTTACCTAAATACATCTTACAGTCCACAGGGACTCCTGTAGATTTTCCAACATGGGTCACAAACTGCAGTAAGCGCTCACGTTCCTGCCTTTTGTCTTAAACACTCAGGATGACTGAGGCACATAATGACACCGGGTACAGTGCAGGTGGAGGCGATCAAAGGAAACTTCACAGAGCTAAAGGATCCGCGCACCAGCAAACGTTAGCACATGTTGACATGTCAGAACAGCATATGAGAGCGCTTCAAAGGGCCTCATGATGCAGCAGGTATGAGGTAAAAAAATAAAATAAAGCATCTGATACATTGGAAAAGCCTCGTTATCTACATCTGACGCACACGACATTCACATGAATATAAATGTGAGTTTGTTCCAGTGGTCTCGTACTGACCCACATCTCAGTTAAAGGAGCTTCAAGATTCGCTCGTGTTTTTAAACTGTCACGATTTTCAGGTCATCCGGGTGATTTGCCCTCATTAACTTCAAGCCTGTAATCTCTGACTCGAACAACGAGAAACAAGGAGGCTCATTATAATCCAGCACGAG